TCAATGGAAGAGGAACATCATGGCCTGTGTGACTACCACAAGATTAGCCATCAACTACAATGGAGTGCTGATAAACATTATTTTGATTGCCATTTTAAATAGTCTTTTTATAATTAATTTACAATAATTGATTAATTTTATATCTATTTTTATTTATTATGGCTATAAGTAGTTTTTATTAATATTGTTTAATTTTAGGTTGTTTGTATTATAAAATTTGTTTGTTATTTAAATTATGTCAACCCAGTAGTTCCTAATTCCTAATATAATTTGATAATAATAGTTTTAGTAGTATTTGGTCAATAGGAGTTTTAATAAACATAGACTAATTATAATTGGTCTCTAATTTAATTAACTTTTAAATGTGTTTTATTTATTTGAATAATCATTATTATTGGTCGTAGCTTTTGTGTGGCATATAGTAGTGCAGATCAACTAGTCAACTAATGAACGAGAAAAGAGATCCGAACGTAGAGCCTTCTTCGGCTATCGCAAACGACGCAGAGGTCGGAGAAGCGGTCTTTTTGCGCAAAGTTGGAGCGAATCATGCGGATCGTGAATCATAGCGCCAGAAGAATGTTGAGGCCGAGGGGTATAAGATGGGTGCAAAATCTCTGGTTCCACTTTTCTTTTTCTTAATTTGCTTTGCAGTGTCCCTGTATTTGTGATTGTAAATCTCTTACTTCCAAGAGTATGAATTGTTTTGCCGTACTTAGAGTTTAAGTGTCATTCTAATTACCATGCTTAAGGTTTAAGTAATATGCTAGTAATACTGCTTCCCTTTAAATACAGAACTCTTTGCTTTAGTTTTCAATTCCCATTTTCCAAATTGTGAGCACTTTTTAATTAATCAATTCCCAAAATCCTAAGCTTTGTTGATGTTCATTTTAGTTATTGATTTTAATTATTGATCATATAACAAAATACTATTGTCTAATGCTAAGGAAGTGAATTGTTTATCATTAATATTATGTATTGATTTATTTAATTGGTTGACAATTTTAGACTTAAAATGCAGAATTGGTAATGGTTTTTGATTCATATTCCTAAGTTTTTCTATCCGGATTGCTATCCAATTTCTTGATTCCTAGTTATACATTTAATTAATTTCTTGAATTTTAATTTACTTATTGTGCATTTGAGTTGATCATTTTATCTTTGACATTTTATTCTAGTACTTTAAATTATCAAGCCAATTATTTCTTTTAAGTCTAGGTTATTAAATTGCATTGTATCAATTCCTTGTGGGTTCGACCCTTGCTATTGCACCCTATTACTACAGTGATTCGTGCACTTGCGAGGACATTTATTAAAATTGTCCATCAATTTTTGGCGCCGTTGCCGGGGAATTTGTTTACTGTGCAATTTAATTTTCTATTCTTTATCTTTCCTTAATTGCTTGATTTTTTCGTATCCCTTCATGATTGTCATCTTTTTCATATTTAATCTTGCTATTTATTCAATTTATTAGTCCATTCATATTTAATCTTGCTATTTATTTAATTTATTAGACCATTTAAAAACTGCTTTATATTTGTTTTACTTTCCCTATTCCCTTTATTTATTTTTTTCCCCATTTCTTAATACTGCATGTTTTTTTCCCCAATCTCTTTATTTTTCAATTTTTTCTTTTCCTCAATTTAATCTTGCTCATTTATTTAATTCATTAGTCCATTCTACTTTCTCAAAATTCTTTTTCGTTCTTAATCACACAAATTTTTGAAGAATTTTACATTTTAATATGTATTCTTTTTTGTCAAACCAAAATAATCCTTTTAATAATGATTTTGGACATGTCAGTCTAATGAATTATTTTAATCAAAGGCCTGTGCAAGACTCGTTTTATAATTCTTATAATTCGGGTTGGGAAAATCACTCTAATTTTTATTTGGGTAATAACCAAAATGATTTTCAATCAAGTCATCCTAGTATTTCTTGGGATGATAATCAAAATAATTTTGAACCCAATCATCATAATTTTTATTGTGATTATAATCAAAACAATTTTCAACCAAGTCATTCTAATTTTTATTGTGATTATAATCGAAATGATTTTCAATCGATTGACCCACCCCAACCTGAGAAACCATCTTTGGAGGATACTTTACAGGAGTTCATTCAAGGTTGCAATATCCATGATTTCCAACTCAAAAAACAATCATTGGAAGATTCCCTGCAGGAGTTTATACAGACTTGCAATAGGCAACAAGACGCACATGATCAATGGTTCCAGAAGCAACAAGAATCTTATGAGCACCAACTGCAGCAAGAAGCAGATGAACAACGATTCCAAGAAAATGAGGCTTGCTTTAAAAGAATTGAAGCACATTTAGAGAAAATTGCTAAATTTGTGCAAGAGCATGTGCCAGGTAAGTTACCTAGTCAACCTGAAGAGGCTAAGGCTGGTGATAACAATGAAAACAAGTTAGAAGATAATATCATTTCTAAACAAGCTGAAATAATTGAAAAATTGCATAATAATGATGATGAAATTATTGTTGAAAATGATGAGTCTCAATTGCATAAATCTGATAATTCTTATCTGCCTCCCATGCATTATGTGCCCCCAATCCCTATCCCTGTTGATGAAAGCTTTGAAAACACCAAACCGGTGCAAAATGAATATTTTGAGGTAGAGGAGCCTTATGTACCACCCAAGCCTTATGTGTTCCCAGTTCCATTTCCAAATAGGCTCAAAAGTTGTGTGCCTGAAATGATAGGTACAGAGCTACAAAAAGAATTGCCCCCAATCCCAACTGATGTTCAAGCTGGCAAATTGACCAAAAGTGTGCTTAATGAAACTGCTGAGGTTCCCATTTTTACATCTATGTTAGGAACCTTGTATTAGGATTTTGATGATACCAATGTAATGTAGAAAGTAGACCCCTAACTATTTACTTTCTCGATTGCTACTTTCGTCCTAGACGAGAGTTGCCATAACTCTCCTGTAATTCGTGTTAAGCTAGACAAATACACGAAAATGAGTTATGTTTAGATGATAGGGTCTCCAAGACGAAAGAAGACACAAGGCGTGATGAACAGCAACGAGAATTAATCAGGAGTTGTCAACTACCTTAAAAGGACAAATGTATTAAAGGCGATTCTCACCAAGCACTCTTTCTCTTCAACAACGAGAAGAATGTTTTATCTGTCTGACTTGAAAACATCCTAGGAATATAAGGACCTCAACTTGTGGGACACGTTTACCAAGGAGCATTAAATGAAGATGTACCATCTCCTGGAGCTAAAGGACAAAAACCCTAATGCTCGCCATACCTTCAACGGTTACATTGTACAACCTCATTAATGGAGCATTTAATGCATGAAGCTCCCCGGTCCTTATCCACTGGATAAAAGATTTGAAATTTCATCTCCCTCCAACGGATGAATTTTCATCACCTATATAAACCCACCTTCATCAACTAAGAAGGTGCTGGTTCAACTTTCACTCGATCTATACACTTGCAAAAGCTCTTAAACGCTCTCAGTTCTCTCAAGCTTTTGTGAACCAGTGTTAAGGTGCTAAGATATTTGAAGAAGTCCATTGATCATCATCTTACACCTTAAGGAAGTCTTGCCATTTGTACGAAGAAATCATCTCACACAATCAAGACTTCATCAAGTTGGAGAAATCAGAAATCATTTTCTACCAACCTCAACTCTGAAGAAGAAGTTGATAGAGGCGGAGTAAACTCGAGGAGTTGAAAAACCTACGAAGGCTGTCCAGCTTAGTGATCAAGGAAGTCTTTGTGTAATTGTACTAACGAGTGATAGTGCAATCCTTCCATAAGTTGTGGAAGAAGAGTGGAGTAGGCAACGTTAGCCGAACCACTATAAAAACTCTTGTCTCTTTATCTCTTTACTTACGCATTTCATTTCTGCATCATATTGTCCTTATCATCATTACCGAAAGTTTCTCTTTTAAATGAAAACTCGTGCAAAGCAAATAATCGAATCTGACATATCCGCTGCGCCAAAACACCGAAAGGTGATTTTTGGGGTAAAAAACACGAAAGAGTCTATTCACCCCCCCCCCCCCCCTCTAGACTCTCACTACACTCTATCGGGACCAACAAGTGGTATCAGAGCAAAATACCTTGAACGGTAAAGGCTTTGCTTTTACTGCCTGGTAGATCCCCTATCAAAATTCTTAAAATCTGCATATTTTTCAGCTCTGCACGAATTTTTGCAAAATGGAAAAGGATCATGCTAACCGCTTTAAGCAGCTCGTTTTTAGTCTTGCTAAATTTGATGACTGGAAGATAAGAATGCAGCCACTCCTCTGCTCCATACATGACAAAATGTGGGACGTCATAACAACTGGACCAATTACGGTTATGATGGTGAATACACAAGCAGCAGCTCAAGGAGCCGGTGCTGAACAAATGATACCAAAGACAAAAGATTCATACACATCGGAAGAAAGGACAAGAGCAAACCTGGATAACGTAGCACGGAATATCCTCTACAACTCCCTTGATGACTCCTTGTTCCCAAGAGTTCGAAAGTGCAAGAATGCCATGGAAATATGGAATGTTCTAATGGAACTAGGAGAAGGGGATGAGCAGGAGAAAGACAACAAGCTGACTGTAGCTATGAAGAAGTTTGAAGATTTCAAAATGCTTCCAAATGAGACAATCATGGACATGGAGCTAAGATTCACCAGACTCATGGGAGATCTGACAGATCTCGGGAAGGAACTGACCGAGAAAGAAAGGAATCTGAAGATTCTTCGTGGCCTGCCAAAATCTTGGGAAATGAAGGTCATTGCAATGAAAGACAATCGAGACATGAAAACAACGAGCACGGCCAAGATCTTTAGTGATCTCAAAGCATATGAGTTCGAACATGAATCGAAAGATGCCGAAGAATCATAAACGAGAAATATCGCTCTCATGGCCAACCAATCAGCATCAACATCCAACAGGTCGAAATCCAACTCTTGTGATTTTTTATCTGATGAACAATATGCACCCTTTGTCAGGAAAATGAAAAGGTTCATGAGGAAGAACAACTTTCAAGACTCTCATCGTTCGGGTCACCGAAAGCAACACGAAAATTCTCCTCAAACCTCAAAGGCAGAAACCATAGACTCGCAACTGTTGTGCTACAATTGTCGTAAACCAAGACATTTTAAGGCCAATTGTCCTCATCCAATAGTGAGCAAGCATCAAGATAGCAACACTACCAAAAGTCCATCTAAGGAGACTGGAGAAAGATACAAAAGAAATGACAAGCCAGAATCATCAGGCTCCAGAAACGAGAGAAGAAGAAAGGCAATGGTAGTGAACGAAACCTCTGACATAGTTGTGAACGAAAGTAGCTCCTCAAGCTCGAGTTCAGACGACGAAAGTTCTGAAGAAGAAAAAGGACTCCTATGCCTTTTCAGTCAAGAATCAGAAGATCTATGCCTTATGGCTGACGAAGACGAGGTAAACTCTCATTCATCTTCTTGTTATTCAGCTGAGTCAAGTTCTGTAAGGAGTCAAACCTCCAATGAATCAGTTACCGAAATGATGAGGAGGTTCAAAGTGATAAATAGCACATACTCCAAACTTAAGGAGGAGAACTCTCGGCTCATGATTAGCTACAATGCGCTAAGGCAAGTTTGAACTGAGAACATTAAGCTAGCCATTGCTAAGGAGCAACTTGAGAAAAATGTTCTCACTCTGAAGGAGCAGTGCACAACAAGAGAAAGGAGAGAGCAAGAATTGCTTGAAGTCTTGGACAAATTCAATAATTCATCCAATCTAATGGATCGAATGATAAATGACTCCAGACTGCCCGGGGAAAGAACGGGAATTGGTTTTAACCCCAGCTCCTCCTCACATACCTGCTTGAACAAATCCACGAATGCATATTCACACGAAGGCTTTCAAGCTGCATTTGTTCAAGGACCAACCCAGGTGTCTGAGCCAATGACGAAAGTTAACAACGATGCCATACCACAATCAACAAGCTTTCCGAAAGGAAAGGCTGTACAACGAATTGTGGATCCTCGAAATGAAAAATCTTACAAAGGCAATCCTAGTCAAAAATATGTCAAAAGGAATGGACCAAATGGAAATAGACAGAATCTACACCATAAGAAAGGTCAGCCTGCTAAGAATATTCAATCAAGGAAAAGGCCGAATGTTGACCAGAGGCAATATCATCCTAAAACAATACAAGAGAATCCTGATCAAGGAAACCAAAAAAATGGACAAATCAGACAACCCGAAAGATCCTTCATAAGATCTGGGTATGGCAATGGATGGACTGGGCCATAAGAAGAAGATTGGTATGATTACCCAGAACCTCTGTCTAAAGTAGAACTACAAAGGATTCATCTGCGTAAACAAACCAATCATCTCAAGCATTATGAAAATCCTCCTCAGGAATATCTTCGCAAAAGATATAATGCTAAAGTCTTTGCCAGCATACATTATGATTATCGCACATCTAATGGGTATAGAGGACCAAGGATGAGTCGTGGACACTCTAGGTTGATGTGGGTTCCAAAGTTGACAGCTAACCCTCAAGGACCCGAAATTCAAGGGGTACCTAAAAACATATAATCTTTGCTGCAGGAAAAACAAGTCATATGGTATGTTGACAGTGGATGCTCAAGACATATGACTGGTGATAAAACAATGCTGAGCAACTTCGTAGAAGTAGATGGACCTAAAGTTATCTTTGGAGGAGAAAACAGTGGCAAAACTCGTGGAAATGGGGACATTATCAAAAAGGGAATAACAATACAAGATGTGTCTTATGTTGAAGGGCTAAAGTTCAACCTTCTAAGCACGAGTCAATTCTGTGACAAAGGATATAAAGTTGAATTTTCCAAGGAAGGGTGTAAAATCGTGAACACGAAGAATGGCGAGACAGCTTTAACTGGACAACGAAAGAAGAACATGTACGTAATATCGTTAATTTCTTCTAACACTAATGTTTGTTTTGTGGCCAAAAGCAATGCAAATCTTAGTCAAGAATGGCACAATAAACTTAGCCATCTGAACCTAAAGACAATCAACAAGCTCGCCAAAAGAAATCTCGTAAGAGGTCTGCCCGAAGAAACATAAACGAAAGATAAAATATGTGAGGCATGTCAAAAGGGAAAACAATTCAAGTCATCCTTTAAGTCAAAAGATGTGGAGGCAAACTCTCGTTCTCTAAGTCTTCTACATATGGATCTCTTTGGACCGGTTGATCCAGCAAGTTTGAGTGGAAGAAAGTATACTCTTGTTATAGTAGATGACTACACGAGATATACTTGGGTGACTTTCTTGAAAAAGAAGAACGAAACAGAAACAGTTCTTCCAAATCTCTTAAGACAACTTCAAACAGAAAAGGAGGTCAAAATCATTCGAATAAGATCAGACCAAGGAACTGAATTTGTCAATAAAGTCATAAAAGATTTTTGTGCGCAAAATGGAATCTTTTATCAACTCTCGGCAGCACGAACCCCTCAGCAAAACGGAGTGGCCGAAAGGAGAAACAGAACCTTGAAAGAAGCTGCACGAACAATGATCTCGTATTCAGGTCTACCAAAGAGATTTTGGGCCGAAGCTGTAAATACGGCATGCTACACACAAAACAGATCCTTGATTAACAAATCTCACAACAAAACACCATATGAACTATGAAAAGGTAAAATACCTAGTATTGGTTATTTTCATGTCTTTGGTTGCAGGTGTTTCATACATAACAACGGAAAGAGTCATTTAAGGACCTTTGACGAAAGAGCTGATGAAGGACTGTTCATGGGATATTCCTCAGTAAGCAAAGCTTTCAGAGTTCTAAATAAGCGAACGATGGTAATTGAGGAATCCATTCATGTTAAATTTGATGAACAATCTGAGAAAAACCCATCCGACATCAAAACGCCAAGTAATTCGGGTCAAAACCCTCGGCAACATGTTGATGAAGAAATTTCGAACGAAGAAGATATACTATCATCCTACACAAAATATCAGCTAAAAGTTTCTGAACCCGAACCTACAACTCAAGAAAAGGTCACAACTCAACAAAACAATCCTGTCAGCACCACAACATCTGAACCAATGATCTATATTGATCTACCATATATTCCTGAAATGGATGTTCAAAATCAACAGAATACATTCGAACCTGATCTTAGGTGGTTAAGAGATCACCCACCTGATCAAGTAATAGGAAATGTTCAAGAAGGTGTACGAACAAGAGCCTCCTTACACAAAAGCATGATGGCATGCTTCTTATCTCAAATGGAACCAAAATCCATAGAAGAAGCCCTAAGTGATCCTGACTGGGTAATAGCCATGCAAGAAGAGCTCCATCAGTTTGAACGTAATGAAGTATGGGAACTTGTGTCAAGACCAACCCATCAGAATGTCATAGGAACAAAATGGGTCTTCAAGAACAAAATGAGTGAAGATGGGCTCATTGTTAGGAACAAAGCTCGTCTTGTTGCTAAGGGGTATTGTCAAGAAGAAGGAATTGATTTTGATGAAACCTTCACCCCCGTAGCCAGACTGGAGGCCATACGAATATTTTTGGCCTTTGCAGCCCATAAAAACTTCAGAGTCTATCAAATGGATGTCAAGAGTGCCTTCTTAAATGGACTTCTAGAAGAGGAAGTATATGTTGAGCAACCACCTGGCTTTGCAATTGATAATGAGGATGAAAAGGTCTATCATCTCAAAAAGGCCCTTTATGGATTAAAACAAGCTCCACGGGCTTGGTATGATACACTCTCACATTTTCGCATAAATTGTGGTTTTATGAAAGGACCCGTGGACAAAACACTCTTTCGTATCAAAGACAATGATCACATTCTACTTGTATAAATTTATGTTGATGACATTATTTTCGGGAGCACGAACCCTGAGCTATGTGAAAAGTTCTCAACACTCATGCAAGGCAAGTTTGAAATGAGCATGATGGGAGAACTCAACTACTTTCTGGGATTGCAAGTAAAGCAATGCTCAGATGGAATCTTTATAAGTCAAGCCAAATACACTAAGGATCTAATTCGAAAATTTGGCATTGATGGGAAAGCATCTGTTAAAATTCCTATGAGCACATCTCTTAGAATGGATATTGACAACGAAAGGAAAGGGAAAGAAATGAAATCTCTCGTGTCCTGTGCTTAAATATTATTCTCTAGCTATATGTTTCTGTTCATTCATGTTTCGTGATTTGTCTATGAATTAATGAAGGTTTTCTGTCATAAATCTCTGACCACCTGACATTCATACATCTTGAAATTATATCTCTGACTCTGAAATTATGACATTCTTGAAAATGCCCATTCAAAGTCTTCTACACCATTAATGGTCGGTTGACGAAATACATGGTCATTGATTACTGCATTGAATGCTGAGAAGCAGTTTCACAACGTTATCTCATCTCAATCTGCCTAAAAAAGGGAATTATGTCTTGCGATTCTCTACCATTCTCATCCTCACAAATGGCTCCCAAAAAGCCCTTCACAAGGGGAGATTCCAGCAAGCTCCGAGAAATCGCAAGGCAAATAAGACAAGAGCAAGGAGACTTGTATCCAGGCAATAACCTTCAAGCACCGTTGGAAATCTCATCTGATACTGAGGAATCATCCTTGTATGATGATATGGCTGGGTTCATTGTTGAAGAACCTCAGGAAGAAAACTATTCAAAAGGAACTGACCCTCCACAGGCAACCTCTGAGGATCCCAGCAAGTACTACGATCCGGACTACATGACCTATCTGAAGCAAGAGGACATAAATGAGGGAAAGGCTAAGGGGGAAGAACCTGAATCATCTTCGGGTTCCAACTATCCTCGTACCGGAAAATGGTACAAGCGTATGTGGGGAGATCTGAAGAAGGCAAAAGCTGAAGCATCTGAGGTCAAGAAAATTGAGAGAAAGAAAAACTAATCCTTCGGATTATGTATTTTATGATGTGTCACTTTTATGCATAATAAAATCTTGTCTCTTTGTTTTTATTAAAAGAAATGAACGAAACTTTACTTGTCTCATTCACATCTATCTGAGAATGTCCCGAATCAAAGATAACCTATTGAAAATGAATTCATTCGGGACTAGGGATGGCAACGGGGCGGGGCGGGGGCGGGGAATGGGGTCCCCGCCCCCGCCCCCGAATTCTTTCCCCACCCCCCGTCCCCGCCCCGTTCCCCGACGGGGATGGGGAATTATTCCCCATCCCCGTACCTGCGGGGATTTTTCGGGGACGGGGAATCCCCGCCCCGTTTTTATTTATGCCTACTTTAAAAAAAGATAATTTTTTTAATAAAAAAAATAAAGACTAATACTATCAAAATTTTATATAGTTAATCCTTAAACAATGTCCAAATTCAAAATACAAAGATTAATAAAATTAAAATATTCAAACTCTAAAATTCCTACAAATATCCAACTTACAATTTTCAAAGTTCCAACTTTCAATTTTCAAACATAAATAATAATCATAAAATGTTTAAACACTTCAAATTGTTTCAAACTCCTCCAAAGTCCAAAGTCTACACATATTACTTATTACATAAGTACATTAGTACATAACAAAACAAAATAAACTTCAAATTACTAAAATAATAATAGTGTCGTAGTGGTCCTCAGTCCTCACTGCTCAACACTTCTTCAATAACCTGAAAAATAATAAGAATTTGAATAATATAATTATAATGATATATATATATATTTAGTTAAACTTTTAAACAGTATAATTTAATAAATACCTCTAAGCACCTGCTTCTAATTGATGAGGAAGGAGTAAATCTTCATTAATTTCATAATCCTCCACAGTGCTATCACCTATATTATTTTAGTATGGTAAAGACGTAAAGTAATGAATAATCAATTAAAAATAATTTGTTTAAATAAAATTTCTTACTTTCAAGCAACCAACTTTGAGAACACATTAATGCCTCCACAATATTTGGATGGAGTCTACTACGATGAGGTGACACCAATCTACCACTAGTACTGAAAGCGGATTCTGAAGTAACGGTAGAAACTGGAATAGCTAATACATCCTTGGCAACCTTACTCAAAGTTGGATATTTCTTCCCTTCAACTTGCCACCATGATTAAACATCCAAATCATCATCAAATGGTGACCTCTTAGTCTCTAAATACAAATCCAACACTGATGTCTCACTCGCACCCGTGTGAGAAACCTCCATAAAGTTTTTCAACTTATCCCTAACTGGGTCACCTTGAGTCATGGTCTCATCCACTTGGACGCGTTTACTTGCAGGTGTTGATGTTGAAGAACACTCATATTCACGACACAAATCATATAAATATGTCTTAACCCTCTCAATTTCCGATGCAACTTTATCTCCATAAAATGTTTGAAAGAAGAATTGAACAACTCCTAACTTATATCTTGGATCAAGAACATTAGCTACAGCTAGAATTCCATGCACCTCTTCCCAGTATTTATCAAACTTTGCACTCATTCTCTTAGCCATATTTGCTATGACCAAATCAGTTGACTCAACCCAATTGCTCAAATTAACCTTAATCTCAGACATCAATAGGAAAAAAACATTGGAAGTTGGATATTTTCTACCAGAAAATGCATTTGATGCTTTATAAAACACTTTCAGTTTATCACAAATGTTCTCAGCTAACTCCCGATCTTGTTCCGATGGTGCACAAAGAAATGAAGACTCTTGTTGTCCCAAACGGTAAAAAACATCTTTGTATTGCAATGCAACAGAAAGCATCAAATAAGTAGAATTCCATCGAGTCTTACAATCGCTAACTAACTGTTTTGAGTTTTCTATACATAAATGTGTTGCACTTTCTTTAAAGAGTTTTTGTCTTTTTGGTGAAGATAACAAAAAAGTAACACTATCTCTAACTCTTTCCAATCCATCCTCCATAACTTTTAACCCATCTTGCACTATCAAATTCAAGATATGAGCACAACAACGCACATGAAAAAATTTCCCACCAAATATAAGATGTTTACGGTTAAGCTTGGACAAAACATGCCTAATTAAAGCATCATTAGTTGAAGAATTATCAATGGTTATTGCAGACAACTTTCTCTCAAGATTCCAATCCAAAATACATTTCAACATTTCTTGTGAAAGAGTCAATGATGTATGTGGAGGCTCGACAAAAATAAACCTAACATAAACACACAATAAATCTAACATAAATACACAATAAATAATTTCACAAATTGCACAATAAGTAGTCAACTTGTATACAAAAATTGCAAGATAAATAATTTCATAAAGTGCACATACCTCAAAACGACATTATGTAGACTCCAATTGTAATCGACAAAATGTGCTGTAATAGCCATGTATCCCTTCTTTTGATAATCTGCAGTCCACATATCTATAGTCAATGCAACCCTACTAGAGCTTCTATTCATAGACTCAATAAGTGTGGTCTTTTGAGCCTCATAAATCTTTATAATATCCGCTCTAATTGTGTTCCGACTAGGAAGCTTCATCAAAGGTTGAGCAAAACCCATGAACTCCCTAAAACCGGAATGCTCAACCATATTAAGTGAATACTCATGCTTAACAATCATACGAGCAAGTGCCTGTCTAGTAGCTATGGGATCAAATGTGTAACTGTTTACATTCAATTTCCCATCCTTGTCTTTATTTAAGGTCAGTGTTTGTTGCCTAAGGTGTTGGTGAGGCCTCATTCTACAAATCTTGTTATGATCATGCAAATGTTTTGTACCATTTTTACTCTCTCCCCCAAGTAGCTTCTTACAATAATTACATTCTGCCTTGAATATGCCATCAACTTTAATCTTTGTAAAATGATCCCAAACAATCGACCTTAATCTTTTCTCACCAACTTTAGGCTCACCTTCAACGGTTAAAACAAACAAAATAAATAAATAAATAAACCAAGTGCAAAATCAAAATAATAACATAAACAAAATGTAAATTTAATAACTACAAAAATATACAAGCTCACCTTCAACAGTTTGGGTAGTTGTTTGAGTTTCTTGAATTTATACTTCTTCATTCTTAGCACTAGGACTACGTGAATCCACGGGAGATGAATTAGGGTACTCTACCGGTGAACTCATAGGCGTTGGAGTAAATGAGTCACAGGCGCCTATGTAAGAATCATCACCTTCCATTCTAATAAGTAATAATATATGAACAATAGAAGAAATAAATTAATTAAACTAATGAAAAGATTAAACTAATTAAACTAAAGAATAAACTAATTAAAAGATTAAATTAGACTAGTGATATTGTTAGATTTCTTGTTATTAATCTTGATATTGTAGTTCTGTTAAAAGTTAATATATAATCAATTTTTTTAGACTAGTGATATTGTTAGATTTCTTGTTATTAATCTTTTTCTGATGCTGTTTACTAATTAATATGACTACGTGAGAAATCAAAATTATCTGAAGGTGATCATTCCATAGAAGTCGACTTGTAAGTGGTGTTTTCAACCAATTTAAAACTTGAACATTAGATAAGGATTTTAATATTCTCAGTTTAACACTTAATTTCTTTCATAAAGTTCTTATCATTGTTTAACACTTAACAATATCATTAGTCTAAAAAAATTGATTATATGTAAGTAGCAAACTGTACTGTACACCAATTCCATGCTGATGTCTTCTTTGTTCATCAGGGAAACAATGCAAAGAATTAAAGAACTTCCGTATATAGTACCCCAAATTATATTAAACCTTTACTATGCATATAATTTCTACGAAGTAAATTAATTTAGTCAGTATACAAATTAAATATCAAATAAGCTATAAACTTTAAAATAAGCTCTACCAAACAAAGCCAATAATGAGGGATTTTAGTTTCATGAATAAGAAAAACATGAAATCGTGCGGAATTTGACCTTCTACAAAATCGTCCGGCAAGGCGGCGATGGGGCGAGGAGGCGTCCCGAGCGACTGTATATAGGGATGCGAATGGCGAATGAAGATTGCGAATGGCGATTGCGAGCTCTGTAATTCTGTATAATGGCAAATGGCGAGAGGAGTTGTAGAAGGAGAACAGTTCGTGGAAGTTGGAACGCGGAAGAGTGGTAGAGGAGTTGTAGAACTGTAGAAGTCAACGGTAGTTTTAACTTTTAACTTTTAATCAACACTTTTAATATTTTTAATTTTTTAATATTATAGATTATACTATATATAAATACTTAAGTCTATTTTTAGTCGGGTATTCGGGGACGGGGCGGGGATCGGGGATCGGGGACGGGGACGGGGCGGGGAATGCCATCCCCGTCCCCGTCCCCGACGGGGATTGGAAAACTTCCCCCATCCCCGCCCCCGATCCCCGAAAAAAATCCCCGAACCCGCCCCCGTCGGGGCGGGGGTCGGTTTTCCCCGTCGGGGACGGGTTCAATTGCCATCCCTATTCGGGACACATCCTTAAAGACAAGCGGTTCTCTGTCCTATGGATTCTCTTACTGATAATGAAATCCGAAAGGATCTTTGTAAGATCGCTCGAAAGGAGAATCTCTCGGGAAATGTATTCTCTTAAAATGACAAGAGATTTGTTTGACTTTATTTGTCTTACAAATCTAGCATTATGACAAATTAGTCCTCCTTCGGGTTAGAACCGTGCTTGATAAGACTCATTTGCCTCTGTCTCATTTGAATCGTCAGATCTTTTCATCATGGGGATCGTGTGGCCGAGAAATTTGGTCCACTACCCCACCATGACTGACACATGAATTGACGTGCATTAAATGCACCCAGGGATACTCGAGTGCTTTTCTCTCTCCGCATTAAATATGGAATGATCAAATTTGATCTGCACACGATCTTATCACTCCCCCATGCTCTTATCAGTTACCATATGCAGAAGAGGAGGCGGTTAATCTTTTGAAATTCCACTAACCCACCTTCACATGGGTTACCCATATTTAGTTACCCAGAACCACATAAAACCCTACTTGAATCTTCTTCGCATCATACCGTGTCTTTTTCATCTTCTCCCAAACAAAGCTACTAACCTTACTCTCTCAGACGCTCTACAATGGCAGAAAATACACAAGCTACATCATCTGAAAAGGAACCAGAAAACCCTTCTACCTTGGAAATCCCAAGTTTTCCAACCGAAAACATGCGATTTATTGAATCCAGAGTTCCGTTTATTGTTGGAGGCAGCATGTGGGATGCCCATGGATTTCTCGAGTACGTGTTGGATCGAAAATTTGGCGAAGATATCGTTCGGTTACTCATGGAATCCGGTTTGTACAGGTTCATTACACATCTCTATACCATATGGTATCCCATCGATGTAACGCAATTCTACATGAATGCATCCATATCCATCGACTCCCTAACCATCTCTTCCAGAGTCCACAATCATCTAGTGGTTCTCACCTCGGAAGATATTCGAACCACGTATGGGTTTCCACAGAGGGATGAATCTTACAAGTCCAATCTTACATATTACTATTACGATCCAGAAGAGTTCTATGATTCTATCAAAAACAAACAAGCCCCTTCAAAGACAGAAATCACATGGCCATTAAAGAAGAAGTGGTTCAAGCTGGATTATGAATTTACCGTTAACATCTTCAACAAGATTGTTGATCATAAGATTTCAGGCACCGATGATGTGACAAAGGAGAAACTAAAGATGCTGGATACCTTTCTAAACGAGCTTAAGGTTGACTGGTCGAAGATTATCTTCAACAATCTCGTTCACACCATCACCTACCACAGGAAAAGTCCAGGAGACATCGCCAAAAAGCTAGGGTATGGTTTTATGGTAAGCCATCTTCTTGTCACTAAAGGAGTCCTAATGTGGCCAGGCATACGGCCATGACAGAAAGCTTGTCACATGAAGCAGAAACCATCTGGTTATGACAAGCAGAAAGCATTGGAGCTGGGAATTCCCATTGAGCTGGTTAAAGGCAAACGAAAGTCAAGAACGCCAAAGGCATCCGAAGATGATCAACCCAAGCCAAAACGACAAAGGAAAGAAAAACGCTCCTCTCGGGAAAAGATGAAGGGAAATGATGATGAACAACCATTGCAAACCGCTCCAAAATCTCCTCAAGTGCAGAAAGATCCAACCCCACCTACTCCACCACCGAAGACAATTGTTGTGAAAGACTCATCCGAAGAAGATAATCTGATTCTGTCAAAACTCGGCAGAAAGGGTCACTTTCGTTCTCCTGTCAAGACAAGGCATTCCCCGAAGAAAGATGCTACACCGAAAGTAGTAAACACGAGAGAAGCACCTCCTCAGGGGGAAGATCAACCAAAAGTTGTCTCACCAGACAGACCTTCTGATCATCAAGTACCAGAACTTGGTTACATCTCCCCTCCTGTTCCCCATCCACAAGAACCTACTTTGGCAGAGCAACTTCCTCAAGGGTTGACACAAGAACCTGCTGATGTAGAAATGGAGGCCAGTCGCTTAAATCTTCCACAAGAACCTGGTTCGCCAGAAAAGACGAAAGAAGTGACTGATGCAATGATTGATGTTTCGTCTCAGCCACAAGAACCTACCAATGCAGCGCAGGTAATTCTGACACAAGAACCTGGGTTGGTAGACGAGACAGCTGTGGTGCCAATAGCAACTCCAGATATTCCGAAAGTACCACCACCAGCTCCCAAAGCAATTGTTCCCCCACCATCACCAGATCAAGTGCTCCGAGAATCTATTGAAAGTGATTATCAACGAGTCTTGCAGTGGCAAAAGTGGCGCACATCTCCCTTAAGTACATTCATTGAAACTTTTGAAGCCATGCAAGACGAAGAACAATTTGCCCTAAAGTGGGTTGGTACAGATGATGCCTACAAAGCACTTCGTCTTGAAGAAATAAGACGAGTGTTCTCCTACAAGATGACCAATCGCACTCTAGGAAAAGACAAAGCTCCAATCTGCATTGAACTTAAAAAACCACCGTTGGATCCAGCTTTTGAAGAAGAAATGAAGCAACTCCGAGACGCCTTGCTGCTATCGAAAGTCAAAACCACTTTAGAGAAAGAACACCAGAATGATCCAAACTGCAATGTCAGTGGCTCAAAAGATGAGCATGGACGAGAAATTGAGGAAGACGAAAGTAATGAGGAAGATGAAGATAATGATGACGATGATGTCGAAGATGCAGATGATGAGCATGATGATGATGATGACGATGACAACGATGATAATCTGGACAATGCAAGATTTCAAGGAGATGACCCGGCCTATGACAGTGATCCAATATTGATCGGTCCTGATTATGATACCTTTCCCCAAAGATCTCCACTTAGAAAGTTGCCCTCTGACAGTGATGACACGAACGAAGCTTCACACCAAGCTCAACAGATCTCAAATGAACATCCCGAAGATATGTCTCGTGCAATTGTACCACATATTCCACCCATGGACGAGACTCCAATCAAGCGTGAAGAAGCAACTGAGGGAAAAATGGAAGCCTCACCTATTCTCCTGAGCTCAGCAAGTGGTTGAAAAAGGGAAGCACCACCTCAAGATGAACAATCAGACACATCGCCAACCCACATTGAAGAAGAATCAACTCCAGAGTCCCCACGGACTATCATGAACCACATGCGGGAAACCGTTCATACAGCCGAAACCATTCATTTGCAATATTTAGTTCTTCGGCAAATGGACACACAAGTGCTAGATGACTTATGCAAGAAGGTAGATCACCTAATGGCTGCCCAATCTCAATCTCGGCCTCCACATCCAGAGCAACCTCAACCGCCTCAACAAACTCAATCAGATCACAAGTTCCATGAGCGAATTGCAAAGACACTCAATGAGCTTCATACCTCTATTAACAAAGTTGCACGGCAGCAACACGAACTCAAACACTCTCATTTTAGTCTCAAAGAGCGCATTGATTTGGCATGCATGAAGATAGACACGTCACAAGATAATTCTTACCAACTGGGTGAATATGTTCTTCAGATTCTTGGATATACCCAGGACATCTTGGCTGCGGTAAATAAGCTTTCCACTATTCCTCCTACCACCTGTGCCGATGATGCCAAAAAGGGGGAAAAGAGAAACAATGACGACAAGGATAAGGATGATGATCATCCGAGAGAAAACACGAGAGATCGGTCTCCAAGGGAAACTCCAAAAGGTCGACATTCTCCTTCTCGGACACCAAGAGACTCTGGCCGAAGAAACACAAATCCGTCCCATCCACCATCTAGGTCTCGTGGTCACCATTCCTCAAAACCAAGATACCATGGTCGATATCAATCCAGATCACTCAAGCCTCGCCAATCCTTTGGCTCTGAAGCCAAGTACATCTTCACAGGCCTCTCCAAGAGAGAACAGACAAAACTAAGGCAGAGATGCATGAAGAACAACAAAATAACTATGGATGGCATAGGAAACTTTGTGGACTTTGTAACCTATGAAGAAGGAAGTGGTAAACGCTTTGAGGGTTGCAACGTTCCTATCTGGCTCAAGACAAAGGACAATCATACAAGGCAAAATCATATAAGCACTCAAAACGAAAGGATCAAAAGAGAAAACAAAGAGCTATGGAAGAAACATGAAGAGGAAGTCAAAAGAAGAGAAGATGAATCAAAAGAAAGAGAAAGCATAAAGAAGCTTATTGAAGATCTCTCAAATGTAACCAAAGACTCTCCACAAGGTGTTATTCACAATGCAGCTTTCAAAGTGCACACTGAGTCTAGAAAGAGTTATCAAGAAGGAATGAATTCGTTTGAACTGATTTCGTGGTGGAAAGCTGGTATAGTGGAAGGAAGTAACATTCGTGAAGCCTACAACAACTACACAGGTTTGAACATCAAAGGAAAACATGAAGACCTTGTCAAGACGAATCCAATAAAGATCTTCAGACAAAGGATTAATGAAGAAATCGACTTCACCAGAATGCTCAAACAACAAAAGGAAAGGGATGACCGTGAACACAAGGAAGCTGAATAACAGAAGTCAAATCTCTTGGAAATGTAAGATATCCTTTCGTTCTGTCTTTTGTAATTTGCACCATCTTAATATGAAACTCTCATTGTCACACATCTCGTGTCACTTGTCTGAGTTATCTGTCCTTGTCTTATTTATTAATGCTTTCATCCTAGAAAAGACTTGTACACTCTCGAGTATGGCTGCTTTATAATAGAAAAATTCTTTATGGAACTTTTATTAGCCTTATAAGAAGAGTATAGGTTTTGGCATCATCAAAAAGGGGGAAATTGTTAGGAACCTTGTATTAGGATTTTGATGATACCAATGTAATGTAGAAAGTAGACCCCTAACTATTTACTTTCTCGATTGCTACTTTCGTCCTAGACGAGAGTTGTCATAACTCTCCTGTAATTCGTGTTAAGCTAGACAAACACACGAAAATGAGTTATGTCTAGATGATAGGGTCTCCAAGACGAAAGAAGACACAAGGCGTGATGAACAGCAACGAGAATTAATCAGGAGTTGTCAACTACCTTGAAAGGACAAATGTATTAAAGACGATTCTCACCAAGCACTCTTTGTCTTCAACAACGAGAAGAATGTTTTATCTGTCTGACTTGACAACATCCTAGGAATATAAGGACCTCAACTTGTGCGACATGTTTACCAAGGAGCATTAAATGAAGATGTACCATCTCCTGGAGCTAAAGGACAAAAACCCTAATGCTCTCCATACCTTCAACGGCTACATGGTACAACCTCATTAATGGAGCATTTAATGCATGAAGCTCCCCGGTCCTTATCCACTGGATAAAAGGTTCGAAATTTCATCTCCCTCCAACGGATGAATTTTCATCACCTATATAAACCCACCTTCATCAACTTAGAAGGTGCTGGTTCAACTTTCACTCGATCTATACACTTGCAAAAGCTCTTAAACGCTCTCAGTTCTCTCAAACTTTTGTGAACCAGTGTTAAGGTACTAAGATATTTGAAGAAGTCCATTGATCATCATCTTACACCTTAAGGAAGTCTTGCCATTTGTACGAAGAAATCATCTCACACAATCAAAACTTCATCAAGTTGGAGAAATCAGAAATCATTTTCTACCAACCTCAGCTCTGAAGAAGAAGTTGATAGAGGCGGAGTAAACTCGAGGAGTTGAAAAACCTACGAAGGTTGTCCGGCTTAGTGATCAAGGAAGTCTTTGTGTAATTGTACTAACGAGTGATAGTGCAATCCTTCCATAAGTTGTGGAAGAAGAGTGGAGTAGGCAACGTTAGCCGAACCACTATAAAAACTCTTGTCTCTTTATCTCTTTACTTACGCATTTCATTTCTGCATCATATTGTCCTTATCATCATTACCGAAAGTTCTCTTTTAAACGAAAACTCGTGCAAAGCAAATAATCGAATCTGACATATCCGCTGCGCCAAAACACCGAAAGGTGATTTTTGGGGTAAAAAACACGAAAGAGTCTATTCACCCCCCCCCCCCCCCTAGACTCTCACTACACTCTATCGGGACCAACAATCTATGCATTTTCCTAATAGCTCTAATCAAGTTTTTGCAGTTATCGTGTTGGATCTTGCACAGAAAAATCAGTTGGAGTTTGATAAACTTCAAAAAGAAAATCTTTTGAATGACGTTGATAAATCTGATTCTAAAATTGCAGGGC